GTGGACGTCGAAATGTCAGTCAACATTTGAGCACATCAAGGAGTGTTTGACCACGGCTCCTTTGCTCAAAATGCCAGATCCTGAGAGACCATTTGAGGTCATCGCCGATGCCTCACAAACTGCTGTGGGGGCGGTCCTGATGCAGGACAATCACCCTATTTGTTATGCGAGTCGAAAGTTCCTCCCAGCGGAGTTGAACTACAGCGTGACAGACCAGGAAGCTTTAGCTTCGGTCCATGCTGTCCAGTTGTGGAGATGTTACCTTGAAGGAACATGCTTCAAACTGGTAACGGACCACTGTCCGTTGACCTACCTTAAGTCACAACCACAACTGAGCCGCAGACAGGCCAGGTGGTCAGAAATCTTACAACAGTTTGACTTTGACTGGGAATACCGCCCAGGGCGAAAGAATGTGGCTGATCCACTCTCTCGCATTCCTCCATCGCCCGATGAGCAGGAGGCTAAGAGGAAAAGTCAACTAGTTGTATGTGGCTTAAGAGTAAAACATAAGCGGGGCAGCCAAAAAGAGGCAACTGAAACGGTAGAGGCCAAAGATCTAGCCTCCAGGATCCGTCAGGCCTATGGCAAGGATCCCCAGCTTGCGTCTGTTAGACAGCAGCAAGATATGCGCTGTACAGACGGGTTGTGGCTGCGAGGCACTCAGGTGTATATCCCTGAGTCTCCCAGTCTGCGGACTGAGATCTGCCAGTTGGCTCATGACCATCCAAGTGCTGGGCACTTTGGTCAAGCTAAGACCCTGGACTTGGTCCAGCGGCATTACTGGTGGCCAGGAATGCGACGAGAAGTACACCAGTACGTCGATACTTGCCTGGTTTGTCAACAGGTTAAGTACCCTCGTCATAAGACCCCAGGCTTATTACAGCCACTGGGCATTCCTGAGGAGCCATGGACAGAGTTGTCCATGGACTTCATTACACAACTGCCAAAAACTAAGGGAGGTCATGATGCTATCGTCGTGTTCGTCGATAGACTGACCAAAATGGTCCGCCTCGCAGCTACGACCACCGAGCTCTCCGCAGAAGGAGCAGCTGACCTGTTGGTGCAGAATGTGATAAGGCACCACGGCCTCCCCTCTCAGATAGTGTCCGACAGAGACGTTCGGTTCACTTCCAGGTTTTACCGGTACCTGGCCGAGAGGTGGAAGATCCAGCTCAACATGAGCACTGCGTACCATCCACAGACGGATGGCCAGACCGAAGTCATGAATCGGGTTCTGGAGGATTACTTACGCAGTTATACGCGTTCTGACCATGACGCGTGGGATGAACTGTTAGCCATGGCCGAGTTTGCAATGAACAACTCGAAAAACAGTTCCACCCAAGAAACCCCGTTCTATCTGAATTACGGGAGGCACCCAAAGAGTCCCTTAGCTCTTGGTGTGCAAATTCGGAAGCCATTAAAGGGCTATGACAATCCGAATGCCCGCGGCTTGGCAGTGGCCATTGAAAGGGCGCAGCAGCCTTATTTGAGGCAGTCTGGTACGCCCCTCGTGGAGGGATTACCAGCAGTGACACGATTTGATCACCGTGTCCAATCAGCGCTGAAAGAGGCCAGGGCGTGCTTAGAGAAAGCACGAGATAGGCAGTCAAAGCATGCTGACCGCCATCGAAGAGAGGTGTCGTTTAGTAAAGGAGATGACGTCCTCCTTTCGACACAGCATATTACTCTCAAACACCCTGGAACTCGAAAACTATTACCGAGGTGGATTGGGCCCTTCACCATCCTCGACCGGATAGGTTCTGTCGCATATCGACTAGAACTCCCGGACAGCATGCATAGGATACATCCAGTATTTCATGTATCGAAGATTAAGCCTTATAAGGCAAGTGGCAGAGTACAGCCACCCCCAGTACCTATCGAGATCGAAGGTGAACTGGAGTATGAAGTTGAACGTATCCTTGATAAAAGGATTAAAAAGCGTGGGAGACGCAAAAACTATGTTGAGTACCTTGTCAAATGGCTGGGATATGGACATGAGCATAACAGCTGGGAATCAGCAAAGTCAGTTGCAAATGCACAGGAATTGGTTCAAGCATTTGAAAATGGCAGAACACCTGTGATGCGAATGCAAACTGCATGAAGTACGGGATGTACATACTGAAACATGCTCATGTGTGCTTATGCTTTTGACAGGTTCTCTTGCGCTGGGCCCAGAAAAACACTGGGTATACTGCCCCCCGTGCGAGGACACAGTTCGCCCACATGAACGCCATGTCAGTGAACATCCTCAACGGGGAGAGGTTGGACACCGCCGACCCCTACGTGCCATTTCCCCGTGCGCCTGAGCGTGCACGCGGACGTGGGCGACGGCGGGGTGCCGCACCGGGCCGATCTGGACCGGCGTGGGCTTTTGGTGGTACTCGGCATCGTGGTCGCCGATGAAAGGCCGGGAGGTCAAACATTTCCAGCCACTTGGCTGAGGAAGAGTTTTAATGAGGGTTGTAAAGGCCGGGACGGTCATGTAAAACAACCACTCTTTCTCTTCATCCAAAATTGTTTAGTGTGTTGTGTTTTGTTAACTGGGCATGTGGCAAATCGCACAGCCAGTTCCACCAACATACATACAATGTTTCTGCTCCCGTATTCACTTATACTGGGACGAGGACGCCCCTCTCCCTGAGGGGGACGAATGTTACGCGCACCAGCCTGATGTGGGAGACGTCCTACTAATGGCCCTTGGTGTGGGGGACGCCCTGCCCAAGGCACGTACTATTCCTCACCCAATGTAACCTTTATCCATATTAGGATACGGGAGTAGGAGGGGTGGTCCCGCCTAGGTGCCCTGTAAGGACCTAGGTGCCCGGCGAGGCGGGTCCGCGGCTCAAAGAGGGCAGGAACCCCACACCCACATCCTATTCGTAACACCCTGTTTAGGATTGACGGAAACCTTCGTGTATTGGTTTGGGTTGGACATGTGTTCGTTTGACATTTGGACAACGTGGGTATTTTGTCACTTGGTGACGTGCCTGAATATGTAATTGTAATTACGTGTTCAACCTGCCATTGGGCGGGTAGATTCGCAGGGCTATACCGTAACCACAATTAACCTCTGGCTCCCATCGGGTTTTGGGAGCATGAACGCCCGGCTGACATGTGATGAGTGAGATGCTGGCCGAATGGCTCCCAAAAGCAGGTATTTCGTAAGCGTAGTCTCCCGCGCTGCCAAGTCCTCCCCCACAAAAACGGAGTTGCCCATGTCGAAGGGTGGGGGGATGCGCAGAAACGGCAACTGGTAACCTTGCGAAATCCATCCTAACGTTGTCTTGTTGGCCCCAAGTGCTCGCCAAGCCGCGATGGAGCGGCGCATCTTGATGTATGGAAAGTGCTCCGGATTGATGTTCAACGCCTTCTTGATCGACTGCCAGCGACGGGCTGCCAAAACGGGTGAGGCGCGACAAAAGGCCATGGGTAGTACGCCCGTCAGAAGTCGAAGCCAGGGGGGCCACGTCAGGTAACGTAAGTTTTGTAGTCAGATCGACGGCCGAGATGTCGGGCAGGGCGGGAAGCGCACACGAAACCCCAATCACGGAGGGAAGAACCCCACCCCGTAGCGCCGGTAGCTCACCGGCGCACCACGTACCGGGGGGCCATTAATCAGCGGCGCCTGCAGAACCAGCCGAAGACTGGCCACGGCCACGCCCTTGGACACCAGAAGTGCGCCCCCCACAGGGCCCATGACCGCCTCCCTGGCCGTAACTGGAAGAAGGGCCAGAACCCCGGGCAGCGGCGTTAGCAGCTTGTTTCTGATGAGCCGCGAGGATCTTGTCAGCAAGGGTCGCGTCGAAGGAAACAATCCGATCGGGCACTGCGGTAGGGTGGGCTCCTATGAGGCGGAGCTGCGTCTGGAAGGCTTGGGCAACGGCGGGGCCGTGACGGGCCCGCAAAGAATGGACGTGGATGTTGCACAAGGCCCCGTCCACGAGGGCGTGAAGGCACTCGGCGATGCCCGCAAGGGCAGCACGATGAGCGGGGTCAAAATCTTCCGCCGAAAGGAGCTGGAGAAGGGTCCCCGTCATGTCAAAAAGATAGCTCGAAAAGGGGGCCCATGCACACAGCTCCTGGTAGAATCCACTCCCCGCTCCAAGCCCCGTAGCCAAAGATTGCCCCCACGCAGTTTCACCAATCACGTAGGGCTCGCCAGGTCGACAGGCAGTCAAGGGTCGGGGGATGGGATTGTTAGCAAAATGGGAGATCTCTGCCAGCATAGCGATCGAATGCCGAGTCACACCTTGGCTCACGTCGCCCGTATAACGAAGGCAAAGGGCTCGCAAGCGGTCAAGGAGCGCGGTCTGACGGGAGACCTCGGGGTCGGCAGATGGAGCGTTGAGCTGAGCTCGCAGTGCGGCAACCTCTCGTCGTAGCTCGGCAATTGACTCGGCAGCTTCGCCCATCAAGGGGCGGAGACACTGTCCCTGCGGGAGGACAGGATTGCTATCGCAGCGGAGCCGCGATCGGTAGCTTTCCTCAGGATAGCTAGGAGGAAACCGAGTCCAGCTCGGGAGAGCGCTTAATGCGACGAAAGGCGCGAAGCGAAAGCAAAGATAGCTACAGTTCTTTTGCCCCACCTTTGTATCCGTGCCGCCAACCGGTCCAAGGTACTGCCAGACCTCGTACTAATGTCCAAGGTCTGCCTGACCGGTGGACACCCCACTCCTGGTCTGATTCACACCGCACCCTAAAGGTACTAACCTCGGACGTGGGCGCAGCCCCTCCCAAGGTGTGGCTGATAGAGTGCCGCCGTACCCTATTGGGTTTGGGCGGCAGGGCAACCTCCAATCTCACACCTCGTGACACATTCCCACCCAACGGCCTAAGCCCGAGTTAACTTCATTCACTAACGTCAATTCCGCGAATTAGTCCCAAGGGAATTGGAAGTGCGGAAGGGTTTGTGAAGCGTGGCTTACGTTGAGAGAGCACCCTACTTGTACCGGGCGCAAGCAACTGGCCAGCCCGCGCAGACGGGGATGCGGTAAACGGCCATGGAGGCCGGCGGGGTCCGGTGTCCTCAGTGCGGAGCGGAGGACACTGATGATGACGAACTGACAGGCTGCCAAGTGTGCACGGGGTGTGGGCTCGTCAGGGAAGGCGGCCGCCTCACGCACAACCTTGAGTATGACGGCGGGATCGCCCACGGCGTGGTCATCGGGAGCACGCACAGTGCCTTAGTTGCGGGTAGGACGACTGTCTCGCATCTGGTGATGTTTCATTCCCCTGTCTGTAGCGAGCGTGGGCCAGCTGCTTTGTGTCAGGAAGGAAGTAAAAAGAACCTCAAGTGGCCAGCAATATACTCCTGAAAGTAGCCGAATGGCCAGCAGCATATTTGGTGTGCAAGGCCACCGACTTTCAAATCCAATCCGCGGTTTCGATCAACTCGCCTAATACCCTTGAGGGTCGACAGCTCAGGATTCACACTAGCCCAACTGCGTGGCAAATGCCGAACGTCGTTCAAACTCTGTTGGAAAAATTGGAGTGTGCTCCATCGCAGGGTGTGCCAAGGACAAGGGGACGAGGAGAACAGCAGCCGCGGTGAAGAGTCTACAAGGGTCAATGTCAAGTTTGGGGGCCCCAAAGAAAGCCGTGGACCTTGCAGAGTCCGTTCTGCACAGGGCAAGGCGGCTGTGGCAGGGAGGCCAAGATGTGGCAGTGCTCATTGGTGCCGTCATTTACATCGCAGTCAAGACGAGCAAACTTCCAATCACCCTCTCTGAGGTGTGCTCATGTGTGTCGTGCCACACCATCGAGCTCCTCCACTGGTCAGGGTAAGCATTTCCCCCATGGCCATTGCAATGTGTGATAGTGCCTTGCTAGAATATCAACGTTGTAATTAGCAGGTGCGTTTTGCTGATTCAGGTGTCCTGAATCCACTGCTCTCTCTGCAGCTTTGCCTTTTGATGTTCATGTTGCATTCTAATTGTGACATTGGTTAGAATGGGTGGTGCAAGTTGCAGTTGTGTAGGCATGAATATTGGACATGACCTCGGCCAAATATGTGTGGTGATGGGCTGCCTGCCATCTGCTGTGGGTGGTTGGTGGCATGATTCTCATTGTTCATAACGAACTGCAGCAGCTGTGTCCTGTACTGAAGTCCATTTATTCGCAGGAAAATAGAGGCAGCTCTGGAATTGACATCAAATATTGAACAGAGGGTTGAAGGCCTGGTGGTGAGGTTTGGGGAGGATCTTGGGCGAGTGATAATCCAACGAGAAGCTCTGAACTTCCAGACCCCAAGTTCCCTGCAGGGTCTCAGAACAGCACAGTTAAGACAAATGCATGAGACTATCGTAGAGACAGCCCTGGAGTTCTGCACATTCTTCTTGTTCAAGTCTGCTGCACATTGTCATTCAGCACATGACAATGTATTTGCAGGTAATGAACTTGCACGATCCTGGCGCTTGGAGGATATCTAACTTGTGTTGTTGTCGGAGCATGGCTGCTGGGTGTGCTTGGATGATGGGAGAAGGATCAATCTGATCTTTTCTCCCATCATCCAAGCACAGCCAGCTGCTGTGTGCCAACAACAAACGCCGAGTTTGCAATGGGCGGGGTTCCTTTTTGTGCTGTGCTGCGCAGCCATGTTATGCGATGGATATAGACTGTGCCCCATGGCATCAATGGTGTGTTTCAATTGGGATTGGATGGCCACCACTGCCCCCACTGCAACACATTGTGCCAGAAACAATTGCCACCTGCCAGGTGTATGTTGCAGCATGGAACAGGGAACAGGGTTCTTGACATCATTATTCATTCACAGCGGCAATGCTTGGACATCAGAGTCTCATGTTCAGCCTGCAAAGCAAATTAGCCAACAATTCAGGTGTTGCAGTTTTCAGTTCATTTTGATACTGCTGCGTGCTTGCTTTCAGGATCAATGCTGAATCTTGCTTGTGAAAAGCATGGATTTAAGGCTTGCACTGGACTGGTTGCCCGCATTGTTGGTGCAAGTATCTGCACATTGCGAAAACTGACAAAGAGCCTGAAGAACAGTCTATTGGAGGAGGCCAGGGTGATGCCAACGTTTCACTTCATGAATAGCAAAAATGTGGTGCATCACTTTAATGAAATCGCCAGTTTCAATGCTGAACTCCGATCGGTTTTGGAGTCGATGCCTTTGGATACAGTTAGGCAACAGGAATCTGGCCAATCTGAAACCTCAGCATCCTGTGGAACTGGATTTGTGTTGGACAACATCCTGGGGTTTGCTGGTAATAAGCGAGAAGAAAAGAAAAGAGCATGTGCACGGCCAGACAGCTGGCAAGGATTCGATAAGGCTGTGGTTCATAATCAACAGGTGGACCAGGGAGTCTGTGCTTCTGAAGGTCTAGATAGTTGTAGGCCACATGCTCAAGATGATGTCACCATTGGGGATTGTGGAGGCCTGGAAGCCCGTGGCATGTTTGTTGCCAAAAATAGGGCTGGCCCCTCCACACCAAAGATGCCAGTGAAGGATTGGAGGTCATTGATACGCGACTGCCCATGTGGTCATGATTGCAATGCCAACGGTCTGTGCACGAGGAGGCACAAGTGGAGAAAGGTTGTGCATCATTTATCTGCCCCACCTGTACCACCAGATGCTGACATCACTGCAAATGTCCCTGAACCTGATGGAGAACTGCACCATGAACCGATGCTGGGTGTTCATACCCAAGTGGTGGACAAAGTGCAACGCTACTGTGCAGGAGAGGGCAGCATTGCTTGCAAAAATGCAGAGGACTCTGATGATCTTGAGAACTTTCAGATGGAGGACAGTGAGCTCGACGAGTACATTCTTTCGCCAAGAGGTGCTCTATTTCGAAAATTTCTTTTGTATTGAAATATCCATTTTGTAGAGGTCGGCAAATGTGGCGGTTACCCATGTTTCTTAGCCGCACCAGACGGATGCAGACCAGGCCTGTCCTGATGCAGAGCCGTAATTGCCAGACCAGCATCACAATGGGTTGATGGGCATCGAATGCGGTCCTGATTGTCAGGAGACACCGCAGTAACCACCTTCCCCGCAGGCGAAACGGGAAACGGCACACACTGTCCGAGGACAGTTCGGAAGCAAAGATACATGCACAGCAGCGATAGTGGGCCCAGAAGAGTTGTATCAAGAATGTTTGTCTCATGCGTATTTATACTCGAAAAGGGTGTCCCAAACCCCAGTCCTAACCGCGTTTCAAGAAGCCTCCAAAGCTACAATCCCTGTACAGAACCCCCTGAGCCTGTCCCCAAACGTCTCAAGTTCTCCGACACTTGTCCCCAACATGGTACAACCCGTGATACACTCTGTACACCCGGCTCAATTCAGTCCCAGCAAGTGATTCCAGTCCCCAGCAAGCAATTCCAGTCTCCGACAATCACGTTTAGTCCCAAGTACGTCCCTCCATAATGATCCAGTAATCAAATCAATCGAATCAGTAAAATATGGTAAGCCAATAATGCCCGCCAATGCAATCCATAGTCCTGGCCTTGGCACTCCACTAGAACAAACGTACATAAGTGATAACGAACTCCAAGCTCAATTCTCCATTCCCAAATCAGGGTTCCGTTCTGGCTTAGTCAGACATCAAGAGCATCGTACATTGGGGCTTGCAGCAAGGGCGGCTCTCTCCAGGTGGACTCCTGGACATTAGGGAATAGAACACGACACTAACTATGCCTTTAACTCACTAATTTCAGGCCATGCTCAACAACTGCAAAGATCGTAGCCTAACCATGGTTAGACCTCTTCGGAGGGCAGCAGTAAAAGATCGACTTGAATTCAGTCGAGTGGGGTCGATTCCAAGCAACAAAACAGCCAAAATGGCACAGGCCTATAGTTTCACGCCAATCCCACACAGGGCCTGAGTCCCTCCCTTGAAGGGGACGCTCACTTGGCCTCGCAGGTCCTTTCCTCAACCAGTGAGGAGGCCTAGTTGGCTGCAACAACTGTAACCAAATGTAGATTACATATTGGAGGTCCACAACATTGCCAACCCGTTAGTTTATATACATTATCATGTTCGTTCTCAGCCACACACTTCACAACATATACCACGGAATATTCCCCTCTGCCCCTCTCATAATGCCTAGTGTTACGCACATCAAAATTTTCCTGCATTCAAAATCCCATCTTTGTACCACCCTTATGGACTGCCCAAATCCAATCAAATCTCCCACATTATATCCAGCCATATCACGCACTGACAGTGATAGCTGAAAAGTCAAAGCCATGCATCGCACAGCTGCTCAACTTGTCACCATCATCAAAATCTAGGGAATCTGCTCACAATCTGATCAAATCTGGCATGGGATCCAAGTCCCATGCGCACATCACTTATCCTGACATCCTCTGTGGCCCTCACGGTCTCCATCCATATCAGCACTGCACATTCTCCATACCACGCTGCCCATGCCCAGCCGCTCTCATAGATGGCGTTCAGAACTTGGGGCACCATTTTGAGGCTCGAGAATCGATGGCTTCTGCCCCTTTTCCGCTAATCAATTCATCATTTCCACCTTCACAGCATCTTTAACCAGTAGCTGGTCAATTTCTCGCGGGCGCTCATGGTATTCGTCCACCGCCTGGACACTGCATGGTGTCATAGAAGCCATAGGGATTGGTCCAAATAGTATAGACTGCAACCGTGCCTTTTCTTGCCCCAAGGCCTTCACTTCATCATCATTACCCCATGCCTCAGCAATCGTCTGTGCCGTTTGGTTGAGGAAAAACTCCTCTAGTGCCCGTTGCTCCACTACCTTCAATGGATCATTGACAATTTTGCATGCCCTCCAAAGAATGGGCTTGTTTTCCTCTTTCCTCAAAATCGCCTATGCCACTTCCCTCAAGGCCGCCCACCAAGCAGGTTCCAGCCCTTCGTACACCATTGATTCAAGTCTAAACGGAATTTTGGACTTGAGGAGCGGAGAAAGATCGGCCATGTCATAGCTCTGGGTGAAAATCGCAATTGCATCCTTTGTCATATCGAACAAAACACCATCCCTTTGCATTGCCTCATCCCATTCTTAAAGAAGGGCGGATTGCATGTTATTTGCCCTTTTCTAGGGTTTGCCTAACATGCCACGGCCATCTACCAACCAAACCATAGCCTGCACACCAAGTTGTGCAAGCCGCTATTGTTGGAACGTTATTAGTAGAGAAGTCCCTGATATCCTGATGGTTGGGGAGGCCACGATATTTTTGCCACTTGTCCATGATGCAATAAAATGACCACCGTTTTACTAGATGATCACTTATGTAATTGGCATACAATGGGCATCTACCATACACCTGTGCATGCTGCATGTGATGGCCCGAGTATGCCACCATTGCTGATAGAAAAAAGAAAAGAAAACAAAGAGAAAACACTCCAAAAGTTGGTTATGAGCAAACAACCACAAACCTTAGGAGTGAGAACAAGGGCGGTGTAAGGCTAGGGATACAAGGGCTGGGTATGAGATGCCACCCTGTGCTCTCACCAAATTCATGCCACCATTCAGCGCCCTAGATTGATTGAATTCAATAACGATTCTGGGAGGCTCTGGGTCTCAAATGCACATATTGTGGATGGATTGGGATAGTTTGATCAACTATTCCCTAGTCTGAGAAAGACCATCTGGGTTGTCTAAACCAACGAGGAGAGACAACTAGTCCAGTAATCTATATGAAAAATGGGGTTTCATGTGATGTGTGAGGTTTCTTCAAGGTGGGACCTTGAAATGCACTTTCACACACAGGGCTAACATGGCATATATACTGGCTCTGTGACATCTCAGAGCCAAGACACAGTGTTGGTCCTTGTGTCATGCAAGGCAGCTTTTAGCACTCTCACTACAAGCACTTGCACGCACTAAATGTCATAGGCCAGGTTGGCCATGACAAGTTAAGCACATCGCAAGGGCAATGGGGTGAGAGTTAGAAGTAGGTTGACTCCCCTCAACCTGCATGCTGGTTATGCATTTTACACTTCACATCCAAGGTTGGTTGTGCAAGCCATACCAAGCTAGGACAAAGTGTTCAATTATTGAGGAAAAAGTTGCTAAGAGTTGGCCGAGTGGGAAAAAGAAAAACATAAGAGGGTGATGGTTGTTTTGTAAAGGCAAGTGCACCAGATTGTGCATGGTCCTGTGGAAGAGCCAACAACTCGTCCATTGGTTCTAAATAGGGAGGGCTGACTATATGTGTGACCTTTAAAAAGGGTTGTTGATATAACAACGTTAGTGGTATTGGGCGCCTACCCTCTTTACGCCGCGGATCCACTTTGCCAAACACTTAGGTTCTTACAGAGACCTAGGCAAGACCACCCCGATCTACTCCCATATTGTATAATAATGTAAAGTCCGGTTTGGGTATTACTACCATATCTTGAGTAGGGCATTCACCACACCAAGAGATTATAGTAGGGCGGCCCCCACATGAGGATTATGTGTATAACATTCATCCCCCTCAGGGAGGTGGGACATCCCCGTCCCAATGCATACATATGGGAGTAGATGCATGCATGGTTAACAAGCTTGCCATATGTGGGGACTGGCTGTGTATATCACCACATGCTCAATCTACGATGTATAATTGACAAAACATACATTGAAGAGAAATAATGGTTGTTACAAGGAGAACGTTCCTACAAACGACCCTCATTAAAACTCGTCCTCAAGTTTACAGGCTAGAAAGTTCATATCTAATCTTTAATGTACTTTATATTGAAGTATAATTTTCTATTCTATGACCTCTTGGCCTACGTGCAACCAAGGAATGTTTGGGACATATAGGGATCACCTTGTGCATCCCCCGTTCGACCGCCTTGGACTATCCGTCCGTAACCATAACCCCTTTGGGTGTAGCCCGAGTCTCTACCTCTACCGAGACCTTGACCTGCAGCCAATACAAATGGTCCATCGCCTTGTATCCTCTCACCGCTCATGACGGCGATGGACATAGCGTTCATGTGCCCAAACTGTGAGTGGGACCAGTTTCCTTGGTAATCGGTATTCTTCTGCACCCACCACAGAAGTGCCTGTCATACACAGGAGAACAGACATGCCCACATCAATGCGTACTTCTCGTACTATGACTAGTTTGCACATGAGCAATAGGATTTCTGCTATTCTCAAAAGCTTGAACCAATTCCTATGGATTGGCAATTGCTTTTGCTAAATCCCAGCTATTGTGTTCATGGCCATAACCCAGCCATTTGACAAGGTACTCAACGAAGACCTATTTATGACCACGCTTTTTAATCCTTTTGTCAAGGATGCGTTTGACCTCATACTCCAATTCCCCCTTGATCTCAATAGGAATTGGTGGTGGTTGTACTCTGCCACTTGCCTTATAATGTTTGAGTTTTGATACATGG